ATTTCCAATTAATGTACAACTGCAGACAAAGCACTTTCTTTATATAGGTGCTGGGGGTTGAAAATACAGTCCAAGGCCTCTAGAAGCATACACTCTAAGTCAGAGAGCTAAGGCGATTATAAAAATACCAGACTCGGGAGTCTGTGGGGGGCTGCTGTGAAGCGACCATTGCGGGGTTGGTATGTAAACTCATACATCATGACCACCATTCAAATATATCCATCTCCCTTCTGTTAAATGCCTTTCAACCTAACTGAATAATGCAATCCATCGAGGTGTTTAAGGGAAGGTGACTGTGTATAGGAAGGTGATCAGGAAAGCCACTCTGAGATGCAAATGCCAGGCGGCTCACTCCCCTTACAAGTGGCTGAGTCCACACGCCGGCTGGTCAACCTGTAGTAGGCAGGGGGAGATTTTTAGACTTAAATGCTTGTGTGGGAAACAATGGCTGAAAATAAATGAGCAATTGTTAAAAGAATAGCAAACTAAGTAGGAGGAAAGAGTATCATATACAGTTATCCAAAAAGTTGGGAAACAATCAACTTAAACAGTTAGTTCTATTTTCAAGAAATATGCTCAATGCATTTTCAGATAAATTACCTCAAAATTAAAACAATGGATCCAATTGTTAATCTGAAAAATAGTAAATACACTATTTCTCCTGCGCTTCTAGACTTTTTAGATCCTCTATAGTTGAATTGTCTAATAATACAATAGGCACTAGGCATATGTGGCTATAGCAAGTAATTATTGGAGAGTGAAGAAATGGAACATTATCCTCATAGCAGAAAGTTCTATTGGACAGTGCTGCTTTATCATGTGTGTATTTTTTTTTTCCAGATTACTAGTTGGACTCAATACATTTAGGGGTACTTTACCTGAAAAGGTGTTTGGAAATTGAACAAAAACATACTGATCATGTAATTTGAAAATATAATATACTCTTGAAAAATAAGTTTGTCCTAGGTTTCCCAACTTTTTGAACACCCTCTAAATATATAATTAACTTTTCCAAGGCTGATTTTTATTTTCATCAAGAAATACCTGCAAATAATTTAAGGAATCAAATTATTCAACAAGACATAGTAAGAAAAAGAAATATTAATTTGTTTGCCCCCAACACACCCCATTTCCTACTTCTCAGAAGTAATTTCCACCCTCTCAGTGGTTTAATGTTTGTCTCTCTGTCTCTAAGGGAGATGCCTACATTGCTGCTGCTTCTGTTTTCAGGTTGTACATCTACCTACTCACTGCCCACTAACGGAAAACGAGCATTTCTTTTCCAAACTCTTCCTTTCTATCGCTGCCCCTGCACACTTCCCATCTCATCCTTCTAATAGATCTATTTTGTTTTATAAAAATCCAATGTTGTAATTCTTATGACCACATGAAAGATATTCACCACGGACCTATACAGAACATTGTCTTGTCTGTGCACAAGTATAAAGCCTGATGAATTTTCACAAAGTGAGAACACCATGCAACCACAACCATCACCCAGCTCTAGAAACAAGACAGTGAGATGAAAACACCCAACAGCTTTCATGACCCTCCCAAGTGACCCCTGTCCTGAGGAACCATTCGGACCTTTTTTGCTATAGTTTTGCTTATTATTAAAATTTATACAGAATTATGCAGTATGTACTCTTTCCTTGTCTGGTTTCTTTTGCTGTTCTTTTTCTAGCTTGAGGTAAAAGCTTAGATCATCTTTCTTACCTAACATATGTATTTAAAGCTATAAATCTTTTGAGGAAAGCACTAGCTGCATCCCATTAATTTTTTCATGTTGCATATGATCATTCAACATCACTTTCCCTTGTGATATTTTTGTATTTTTAAAGTATTGATTGTGTTGTGATCAGTGCATTCTTTATACCAATCCTTGGAAATCTGTTGAGACATTTTCTATATCCTGGACAACAGCTGCAGTGGAGGCCATCACCTGATTAGTTTATGATAAAGCAGTCCTTCTCCAAGATCCAGCAGATTTCTGTCCAGTCTGAACAGATATGATGGGAGCCTTTACCCTCAATCTTTTGGGATTTTTCACGCTGGTCTCTGTAATTTCTCGATATAGCATTGATTTGGTTTACTATTCTGGCTTCTACTTGGCCCTTATTACTGTCAGGGAACTAAAGTGGGGAGTCTGTCAGTTGTCAGATAGAATGTATCTATTCTAAACACACTCAGGAACAGGGGAAAGAAGCACAGGGGAGCTCCAAGGACTAACTGAGCTGCCTGGGACACAAGCTGGGGCTCAAACTCCACATGTGGCCTGACCCAAAAGGAAGCCAACTGTCAAAGAAATGTCAAGTCACAGCCACATCACAGAGTATGGAAGGTGAATCTGGAATGACAGACAATAGGCACATGACAGCACAGTCATAGCCTTCGTCAGGTCTCACAGTTCGCCAATTCTGTGTCTGATCTGTACTTAACCCGTCCATTGAGTTTTTAATTTCAATTATTTTTTCATTGTTATTTTGACAATTCTCAAATCTGCCCAATTTTTATAGAACCTTGTTATTTTACCATTTTGACTCTCTTCTTTACACGTATTAAAGTCATTTCAGATTCTATATCTGATAATCCCTGTAGCTGTCATCTTCATAGAGCTTTTTCTATAATTTGTTTCTGCTAACTGTTGCTTTCAAAGCTATCTCTTTTTACAGGGTGGATTTATTTCCTAGCTCAGTCTCTAAAGGTCAGATTGATGCTCCTCTATCAGCCTTACACCCATTTTCCAGGTAAGAGGGGAACAGGAACAGGCTAGCACTCTCACCAGGAAAGCAAAACTGTCCTCACAAATCCCAAGCAGTCCGCTTCCATCTGCCTGACCAGAACCCTGTTACATGCCAGCCCAGACTGCAGGCTTTCAGGCCTCCACAGCTGAGAGCACTGGAGATGAGTGTGCAAGAGCACCTGTGCGTTTCTGGCTACAGAGAGACAGGCAAGAGGGCCGGGTCACTGCTACGGGGTTGGTGGCACAAGTCACGAATGTTACAGAGCACTGTTGGGGAGAAAGTCACGGAAGGGAACTCTGACCCACTTATACTCCTCTGGCTCTTGTAACTCCAAGCTGTAATGGGGACCCTCACCGTCAGAAAGTGGCCTTTTGAGAGTCCTGATGCCCTGTGAACACTCTCCAAACAAACCTGTCACTGTGCCGCAGGCATAAGAAACAGGCCCTTCAGGCAAGGCCTTTGGCTGTAGAACCACCACCGCATGCCAGGTTCTCCCTACAGCTGCCACCCGTGACCTGCTAGTCAGGCCTCTTAACGCACCTGAAAGGAAGCATCAGCCAACAAATTAGGATCTTATACAAAGATTCCAGCTGACACAGGGAAAGAGGAACATGATTCAGTCAAGATGGATTTCAATGCCTGAAAACATTCAGACTAATCAAAAATGATACTACTGTAATTTCTTATAATGCATAAGTACTTATTATAAAACTTTAAAAAATGTAGACATATTAACTCCTAAAGCACATACTATATAATTTTCAAGTGATAGCTATTTAACAATAGTTAAGGTGACAGTATCACAGAACTTTCACACACTTAGAACATAATTAGCAAGCTATTCAAACAAACACCAAATTGTTTTTACACTTTCCATGTTTGTTTTTAACTTTGTTTCATAAAGCCACTAATAACTGAGGCTTCTTTCAAGTATAGGATTTCTAACATTAAATTACATTTTCGAAGTATTTTTATAAAGAAATGAAAAAGACTCATACTACATTGTTTGCCATAAATTCATACACCAAAAAGTAAAACAACCTAACTCAATTTATCCATGTTTCCCCCTTCTCCAACATGAGCTTTAGATGTTTTTCTAAATACTTTATATTTTTGTTAAAAATCAACTAATTCATTTATGCAGACTAGGGAAAAATGACTTATAATAAGTTTATCTTTCAAATTACCTCCTACATATTTCTGCCCCTGTATCCTGCCATCAAATCTGGCACTAAAGTAAACAATAATGCAATGTACTGTTTCAGGGGGCCCACACAATCGTAATCCTAATTTCCTAAATACCCAAACATTTCAACTTTCTGCCAATATAAACAAAAGTCTCAAGTGGCCAAAAATCACTTCTTAGTAGTCTGTAGGAGGAAAAAGTGCATAGTATGAAGATTATTTAACTAAAACTTTATTATTTATGCCTTTCCTCCCAGCTACAAGCGCTCTTTAGCATTAAATTACATTCTGCGTACACAGCTCAACAGTTTACATTTGCTCAGGAACAATGATGACATTAAAAATAAACAACTTTCTACTTCATAGTTTAACTGGATCTTAAATAGTTTCCCTGGGGGAAACAAGTATTTTGTGTTCTCTAAGAAACTGGTATACTTAAATGAACTGCTATGTGTTCATTTAATCTTTGAGGAACCCTAAAGATGAAGTTTTTGGGTTTTTTCTAAAATGCAATAGAGATCTGTACTTAATCACTGTTCATATAGTGCAGGGATGGAATGGTAGATACAGATACAATCTTTTGTAAGTGTACAGTTGTAGGCTATTCTAAACATAAAAAAAACTGACACTGACAATTGTTTAAAGGAAAAAAGAACCAAAGTCAAGAAAAATGTTGAAGTATATCTACTCTTAAAAGAATACAGAAGTTTATACAATGAGACCCAGAGATTTAAAAAACACTCATTTTACTGCTTTAAAAGACAAATAAAAAAAATGAAGGGAGAGTGAGTCTAGACCAATTAGAACTGAGGCAGCTGTAACAAAAATGGAACACAGAATAATGATCTGACCCCATTAAGGAAATGACTAATTAAAATGAAATTTCGAAGTCTTCATGTCTGTAATAATATAGTAATGCACAAAATATCACAAAGTCTTGATTTTCCCTCTGAGGTTTATCATAAACTATCAAACCTGTTTAATCCAGTGACACTTACAACCTTCTCTGTTGAGCAGCACACACCATACAAGTACAGACACACTAGTCTTTTACCATAAGAATTATCGTACTTGTCTCAAACTAGTGACTTGCCTTTTTACCCACAATTATATACATTTCATTTCCATTATAAGACACTTAAGACCTTTCTAGTGATATATTTTAATCAATATATTACATTAAAAAGAATCTTGATTTTTAAAATGAATCTTTTTAGCACTGTAGCATGATGGGTTTAATTGAACAGTTGAAGCATAATATGGTAACTACACTGTACTGTTTAAACTAATCCACAGGTCTAGGAAAATGTCTGATTTTTAAAATAGAACTAACATGAGATCGCACAGTTATGAGCAGTAAAATACTAGAAAACAGTGAATGAATAAATAAGATAATTTTTCATCAGTGGCCATTCATTATTTTGCTTTTAGGACCCTGGAAGAAATTGTTGTCTTTGACTTTCAAATGTTCTGGTAAATCCAGTCGTTTCTTAGCTTCCTCAATATCACCTTGAATTGCTGAGATAAGTGCCTCTGCAGAGAGAACACACCAGAAGATGATCAGAAACCGCTGCTGGACTCCCCACTGCTCCTGTGCGCAGCCTCCTGCAAAATCCCGGACTGCAGTGTCTCTAGCACGGGGTACACGCCCTGTAAATGTCCCATCCCTTCTTCCAGACTCCAGCAGAAGTCAGTGTACACACAAGATGGCCCTAATCTTGCAATTTCTCAGAGAAAGGCAATAGCAAAAAAAGATACATTGCAAACACCAGATGGAAGAAACAAATATTCACTATCAATTCTCTTCAGGATTTACACTTGTAAAAGAAACTCTACAGTAGAATTAAAACTATCACATTCAGGGGCCGGCCCGGTAGCGCAAGCGGTTAAGTATGCGTGCTCCACTGCGGCGGCCCGGGGTTTGCCAGTTCGGATCCTGGTCGCGCACCAATGCACCGCTTGGCAAGCCATGCTGTGCCGGTATCCCATATAAAGTGGAGGAAGATGGGCACGGATGTTAGCCCAGGGCCAGTCTTCCTCAGCAAAAAAAGAGGAGGATTGGCAGATGTTAGCACAGGGCTGATCTTCCTCATACACACACAAAAAAAACCCTATCACATACACTAAGATACTTGATACCATTCATTTCAAATGTTCTGATTTACTGTTTCTTACACTTCAAGCACTGCATCCATTATTCATCACAGTATTAATTCTTACTTGTTCCTTAAAATATCAAAAAGAAATGAAGATTAACTTCATACTGTTGGAGAGAGGCAGCCAGCCTGCTGGGTTTGAATCTTACTATGTGACCCTGGGCAAATTATTTAACCTCTCTGTGCCAACTTCCTCATCTGTGAAATGGGCAGAATAATTCCTCAAACAGTTGTTGTGAGGATGAAATGAGCTAATTCATGTAAGGCACTTAAAACAGTACCTGGCACATATTAAATGCTCAAATATTATCTGTCCTGCCATGGTTATTACTAGTGAGAAAGAGTAGAGGAAGCTGCAGTAATATTTAAGATCTAAATAAGAACTTACCTAAAGAATCAAAGTTCTTTTCTGGTCTGAGGTAGCCAACGATGGCCACATTGAGGATTTCCCCATAGAAGTCCTCTTTGAAGGTATGTATGATATGAGTCTCCTACAGTCAAGAAAGGTTAAAAAGATTACCATCAGATTAGAGCGCCTGAAATTTGAAATATATCTTCATGTTTAAGGTGGAATAATTTAAATGAAACAATTAACCTTCATTAAATGTTTAAAGAGAAGTTAAAATCTAAGGGCAGTTTTTCCTGAATTCTTCCATCATTCCTCTGCCTGCCCCTGACCTTACATGTACAGTTTATAACTAAGGTACATGTTGTACCACAAATATGGTATGATTTGCTGTTTACAGAAAAACTAATATGCAACCAAAGCAACCAAGAGCCTTATAGAGGCGAAAAAACAGCACAGCCACCAAAGAGGGAATGAGCAAAGTATTACGAGATGTTACTACTGAAAGAACTAGTTCTGAGGTTAATCAGGATCTATGCGTCTCTGACACACACCACGTTACAGCATCTTTGAGGGTTAGGCAGAGCTGAAGACTGATATGGGGTCAGAAGAGTCAACGCAGGTTCCTGACCAAGGAATGATGTGACAAACGGGTACAGGACGTGTTGAAGCAAAATGGTGCAGGAAGTAGAAGATGCTCTGGACTCTGAATGTTAACCCACTCTGAATGTTAAAGAACAAATCTGAGTCCAAAAGGCAGAAAAACCAACGAAGAGAACAAACAGATATAGAAGACGGCTGAGGCTGGACTAGGATGTGGCACTGGAAATGGAGAGGTTTAGACAACTTAGAAACATGTACCTTGAGACTAAAGATGTATTTTAAAGTGTATGACTTAAGAAAATCTAATCTACGAAGTGATCCTTAAAACTGAGGCGTCTATTACAAATCAGCTAATAGTATAGCTAGATCAGTCAGACTAATGACACCAATAAAGAGATAATATGAGCAACTTATAATTAATGAGAAATCAAACATGAAAATCTGCATTCAGACCAAAAATAGGAAGGAAATATCACACGAGACTTTTAGATTAAGGTGAGTTTTATTTCCTCTTTTAAAAAAATAAAATAACCTAGTCTTTCGTAACCTTTTTGGTTTGTAGGGGGGAGGATCATGATCCTTTGAGGTCATTAAAATGCGATCTCTCCAGGGCCAGCCCGGTGGCATAGTGGTTAAGTTCGCATGCTCCGCTTTGGCAGCCCAAGGTTTGTGGGTTCGGAACCCCGGGCACTGACCTACGCACCGCTTATCAAGCCATGCTGTGGCAGCATCCCGTATAAAGTAGGGGAAGATGGGCACGGATGTTAGCCCAGGGCCAATCTTCCTCAGCAAAAAAAAAAGAGGAGGGTTGTCAACAGATGTTAGCTCAGGGCCAATCTTTCTCAGAAAAAAAACAAAACAGAGATCTCTCCAAGTGTCCCTATGTAAAACTTTGCATACAACTTAATGGGATTTATGGATTTAATGAAGCCCATTAAAAAAAAAAAGAACTCTGATTTAAACAACTAAAAAGAAAAAAATATATTAGCTATTAGAAACAGGACTTAGTTCTTTATAATATAGCTCTTATTAGAGCTTTGGTTTTGTTAGATTACTAAATCTAAAATTGTGTATAGAAGAGCTGAAATTACATACTATGCTAAATTCAGAGTGTTTAAGAGAAGCAGGGCAGTGCTGTAGGAAGAGCGCTGAGTTAAGAAACAAGTCTGGGCTTCCATACTCAGCTAATGGCACACCTACACCCTCTGGGGCTCAGTTTTCTCATCTGTAATTGAGGGGTTTGAGCCAAAAGACACAAGGTGTCCCTTTGCTTTGTACCACGAACCAATATACTTGACTTGCATTCTTTCTTTTCAGTAAAATTTTGAATAATAAAAAGGAAACTAAGATATGTAAGACCTCGACACTGATCATTACAAAACATTATTGAGAGAAAAGGTAAAGATGTCTACTCTCCCTAAATTGATCTACAGATTCAATCCTATCCCAACCAAAATCCTAGCAGGTTTTTTTTTTTCAATCATGGAAACTGACAAGTGATTATAAAATTTATATGGAAATGTCAAAGGCTAAAATCATCCAAGAAAATCTTGAAAAGAAAACTGGAGGACTTATACGATCAGATATCAAGATCTATTAAAGCTATGGTATGGAAATTAAGACAATGTGGTAATGGCCAAGGATAGACTAGGAGACCAAGCATGTATGAGTGTACTTTGGACACTCACACATACAAAGTCACTTGATTTATGACCAAGGTGACACTGCAGTGCTGTCAGGAGAGGATGGTATTTTCAGTAAATGGGCTAGGTCAATATCCACATGGAAAAAAATTAATTTTGACCCCTACCTCACATCACGCTCAAAAATCAATTTGATGTGAAAAGTAAGACAATTAGTTTTTAAAAGAAAACATAGATGAATATCTTAATGACTTTGGAGTAGGCAAAGGTTTCTTAAACAGAATATAAAAACCACTAACCATAAAAGAAAAATGATGAATTGGATTAAAATTAAAAACCTGTATTCTTCAAAAGACACCATTCCATTAACTGAAATAAATAAAAAAAAGCAACACAGTGGGAGAAATTATTTGCAACACACAGTTCCAAGAAAGGAATTGGATCTAGAATATATTAAGAATTTCTTTAAGCCAATAAGATAGCCAATCTAATTTCTAAAAAGGGAAAAAGACTTGAACAAGCACATCACAGATGTGTGTTGTTGGCAAAAAAAAGAAAAACTTTGAAAAGCATGAACCTCCTACCAACAGAAAATTTTGTCCTTACTATGGAAGGAATTTTAAGGCATTCCTTAACTGGCTCTATAGTAATAGTTCTGTTATCTGAGTAGCTAATAAGGAAAAATTAGTCATGGGATATCCTTCCCTCCCCTCATTTCCTCCCTCATTCTACAGAAAAATATTTTGTGTTCTTTCATTAATTCTTTCCCTTATCTACTCCAACAAATAATTTTCACATCCTTAATACTCAAAATAAGAGAAATATTGCATGTAACATTAAGTTGTTCTGGGCCATTTCTATTGCTTATAGAGCACTTAGCCCTGTGGTTTTCCAACTGTGACACACTTTTCTTCTATAAACTCTTTAAAGAGGATGAAATTTATATCAACTATAACTGTTTTTGCCACACACTTGAGCTGATAAAAAGATTCAGCCATATCTAGCAGATTAGGCCCTTAAGTCACGTGGGTCCTGTGAAAAGAGCAGAAGAGCATACCCTCAAAGTGGTTTAAAAGAGAAAAAAAGCTTCACCTTGCAATTTTATCAGAAAGCACCATCCATGTAGTAAGCAGTTCACTCTTAACAAGGTGACCAAGTAATTAAAGGGGGAATGAACTACATTAACTGTGGCAAGCTCAATTTTATGAAACATCATCTTAAATACTTCACTTTTTATCTCCAGTAAAGGTAAATACACGGGCAGTTATAAAAATTAATATTATTCTAATTTATTAATTGTATTGTCATTTTGGTTTATAACTCCATTTTTATTTTCTACATGATTTTAAAGATAAATGCACAAAAATTATTAATCTGTTCTGGGCACACAATATATCAAGATGACATTTGTGAGTTTTTCTATTTTATTAAAGTTAAGTTGGTATAAATTCAAATTAGATTTTTATAAGGTTAGGATGTTAAATGCAATCACCATCATAACCACAAAGAAAATATCTACAGAAAATACAAAAAAGGAAATGAGAAGGAAAATCAAAGTATGTCACTACAAAAAAAATCAAGTAAACACAAAAGGCAGTAATGGAGGACATGACTGACAGAAAAAGCTATAAGGCAAATAGAAAACAAATAGCAAAACAGAAGTCCCTCCTTATCAGTAACTAGTTTAAATGTAAATGGATTAAACTCTCCAACCAAAAGGCAGAGATTAGCAGAATGGATTAAAAAAACATGATCCAATTATATACCCCTTTATAAGACACTCACTCTATTTATTTATTTCTTTTTTTGTGAGGAAGATCAGCCCTGAGCTAACATCTGTGCTAATCCTCCTCTTTTTGCTGAGGAAGACCAGCTCTCAGCTAACATCTATTTCCAATCCTCCTCTTTTTTTCTTCCCGAAAGCCCCAGTAGATAGCTGTATGTCATAGTTGCGCATCCTTCTAGTTGCTGTATGTGGGACGTGGCCTCAGCTTGGCCGGAGAAGCGGCGCGTCCGTGCGGGCCCAGGATCTGAACCCGGGTCGCCAGGAGCGGAGCTCGCGCACCCAGCCGCCAAGCCACCAGGCCAGCCCATAAGACACTCACTTTAGATCCAAAGACACACATAGATCAAAAGTAAAGGATGGAAAAAGTTATTCCATTCAAATAGTAACTAAATACTTCACTTTTAAATCCTTTAACCACACTGCCAAAAATTCTAGAATTTGGATATGTGTGATTACCACTGATGAGTTCTATGTGCATCTAATACTGCATATTACCCTAAATCATCATCCCATTTTCAGTTACAGAGCTAACTACAATTCTTACCATGGACTTTTTTTGTATTCCTGTAGTATGGGTTCCATCCCATGCTCACCACCATCTTATGGACATCTCCACTTCCAACACTGGGCCAACCATAATACATGCCAGTGGATACATCAGCTGGGAGATTATCTACTACTTGTTCAGGAAAGTTAGCTAAAAAACAAAAGTAAATACTCTTGAGTGCTACGAGTTTCATATTAAATATTCATAAAAATCGCATGCAAGGCTAGTCTAAATCATTATGCTCACAAGATTCCTAGGACCTTGTCTCTATCAATCCCATCATTCCATAATCTGGCTCGGACTTCTTTCTCCTCTTCACGTGGATAGGTTAGGAACAAGGCACCAGGTTCTAGTTAAGTGTATAAAGCTCTCCAGAGACACACACACTCTCGAGATAGGAGAAGAAAACAGGTGCATGAACAGCTGGATTTTTCAGACCTGCTCTTTCTTAAGGAGGTTCGGAATCTCTTGAAAAGTCTCTTATTTTCGAAATGCACATGCTTAGGCACAAGCTCCAAGACTAGGGGCAGCCCTGTGTGTACTTTTAAGGATGAATTATGCATACCGTCAGGTCCCGACTACTAAAACTAATGTAGACAGACCAAAAAATATGTGGTTCTCATTCGACTGCCAATAACAGATTTAAAGAAAAGAAAACCTTACAGTGGGCTTGAGAATTTAGCCAATCTGGCCCACATTACGTTTTCTAAAGGGCAAGCTGCGTGCCAGGCTTGGCAGCTCGATCAGGGCTGCATAGCGAAGCGGGGACGGGGGGCCCCGAAACTCAGCTCCGGCTTCCCGCCCTCCCCACCCCTCAGGCCTGGTTCCCGGTGGGTCGGAGCCCGGGCACGGACGAGCGCCCTCGGCCCGACCGAAGGTCCTCCGCCTCAACAGAGCAGGAAGCGGGCGGCGGGGTGGGTGTCACCTCCACCCGCCGCCCCACGACCCGGCCCCGGGTCCCCGGCTGATGTCTCCGCTCCCCGTGACCCGGCCCTGGCCGCCGGCGCTCACCTGTGGGGATGCCCAGCTGCTTGGAGCCGCGCCCGAAGCCCCTCACCACTTGGCCGCGGCAGAAGTACGGCAGTTGCCTCATGACGCCGTCCGCCTCGCCGGCCCGCGCGTCTGGCGGGGCCGCCGTCGAGGCGGTGCCCGCACCCCCCGGACCAGCCGGGGGACAACGGCGAGTCGGCCGAGCGGTGCGGACAACACGCCCCGGAGGGCCTCTCACGCCGCTGACCCAACAAAAGCTGCCGGCCAGTCCAGAGATTGCTTCTCTGTCCCGGGACCGGCGGCGACGCCCGAAGTCTCCGCGCGTGTGGGCGGAAGCGCGGCGGGGGCGGGCCGGCGTGGGAGGGCCCCGGCTCCCGGAGCGCCACGCGCCTGCGCACACTTCCGCGGCCCAACGACCTGGTGGCCACTCGGCTTCCGTAGCCCCGCCCCCGCCGCGGTCCGAGCAGCAGGTCCGCTGCTGCCTGGTGTTCTTCTGGCCCCAGGCTTGAGAACCGGGCGGCAAGCTGTTCTTCAGCGTAGGGGCTGTGGAAGCACTGTTCTCGGATAGTCCTGTTTCTTTTCCCTTCCTCCTTTCATTATGGTCCTGACGCCAAAGAGAGACGTTCTTTAACCTCTTGGCAACAGCTAGGTTGATCGTCATTCGTTACTCATGCACTCCTTAACCTTTTACTAAAGCTCCAAATTCCAGCTCAGAGATCACCTCTTCATGGAGGCTTTTCCCGACTACCTACCGGAAGTGGCTCCCCTCTCCTGCAGACTACTTGACCACGGTTTAAGTTTATCAGAATGTAAGCTCCAGGGGAGCAGGTCCTGGTCTGTAACTCGGCAACCCCAGTGGCTAGTGGAAGGTTACAATGATGCAGTTTTCTTGGAGGAGGGATGCGGCTGCCTACTACACACCCTCGGGAGGTGTCTCCTTGAGAATTTAATAAACCGGTGAAAGGCTTCATCTCTACTGCAGTGGAAATTCGTGGGCCATGTGACCCTTGGAACTGTAAACATGATCTTGGGAAGTAGCTCAAGGGTCACTCACAAGGTGTACATGAGTCAATCACAAGGTGCATCTTCTTGTGTTGTTCTTGAGAAAGAAGGTTGAGTTGTTCTCTGTTACCTTTCTCTATATATGTGTGTGAAATTCTGTCCAGACTTTGCAGTCCCTTTCCTTCTACCTTACAGGTATGTAACTGATAATGCTCACCCAATGTTAAAATTATATGCTGTGTGGGAGATCAAAATTGGCCACCCCAAAATATGTCTCTTTACCCTGATGATTTTCTCTGACACACATTTCACCTCCCCCACCAGCTCTCTAAAGGAATTTAACTGTGGGTATGGACAGACTGGCATGGTCCTCACTAAGCCCATTCTTATCAAAGTTCTGTTTACCAAACATTTACGTTTGTAAAGGTATCTCCCTCTCTGTCCTGGGAAGAGCAGGGAATGACCTTATCTCTGGAAGCTCTTAACGGTCCCGGAGAGGACTTAAATCTGCATACCTTTGATTGCTGTGCTTTCTGGTAATCTCCCATAGCTGTCTCCTACCCCACCCCCAACATCCTCCTTTGTCTTTATCTAAATCTATTTAAGGTGAAAGGCCTCTGCCATTTGTTGAGAAACTCAGTTTCCCTGGTTTCTCGCATGTATACATGTTATTAAACTTTGATTTGGTCTCAACTTAATTTGTAGTCCAGCCAGGAAATACCCAGAGTGGGTAGAGGACACTCTTCCTCCCCCACCAGTACCTAAGGGGACTTTGTTGGCAAAACTTTTATTTCCCTAACACTAGTTTAGCACCTGGTTCATAGCAAATGCTCCTTTCTTGCAGAAAGAACAAATTAAAGAGCCAGTGTTTGTTGAGCACCATGGAAAGTACTGAGGGAACAGAGGTGACTGACAAGGTCTTGGCCCTCAGAGACTCAATCTAGGGGAGGAGACGGACTGGTAAGCCTGATTTGGGTGCTATGCTGTAAATATGCCCACAGGAGTCCTGACAAAGTGCTTGGAAGGCTGCGGAGGGAGCCGACCTCACAAAAAGGCATTTTGTATAGGTAATGGCCAGGAGCACAGGCGCTAGAGCTAGATAAGCTGGAGTTTGAATATAGGCCTTGCCTCTTTTTTTTTTTTTTTTTGTGAGGTAGATAGGCCCTGAACTAACATCTGCCAATCTTCCTCTTTTCGCTGAGGAAGACTGGCCTTGGGCTAACATCCATGCCCCATCTTCCTCTACTTTATATGGGATGCTGCCACAGCATGGTTTCACAAGTGGTGCGTTGGTGCGTGCCTGGGATCCGAACCGGCGAAAGCCCCCTGGGCTGCCGCCACCAGGCCGGCCCCTGGGCCTTGCCTCTTTTAATTGCTGAGTGACCTTGGGCAAAGAACCCTGTCAGAATCTCAGTATTCTTATCAACTAAATTGGAATATTAACAATGTTGTGGGGTTTAAATGAGCTAATGTATACAAAGCACTTAACAAATTGCCTAGCCTGTCATCGTCAGTGATAACACCAAGTAAAAGCCTGGAGGCATGAGCTTGGGGTAAAGCAGCCCTGGGTTCTAGTCCTCCATGCCCTGGGTTCCAAGGAGGTATGAGAATTAAATGAAGTAAAATAATTAAATGAGTCATGGGAGATAAATAGGGAGGGGTGGTTTTAAGAATTAAATGAGATAATACCAAGTATTTTACACACTATCTCATGTAATCCTCATATCAGCTTTTGAGAAAAGCACTAACCCCAGTTTATAAAGAAGGAAAGGGACATTTGAAGAGTTTGTAGGATGGAGCACTCAGGCTCTGATTTTTTGTAACTGCATTGACATGTCAAGTACGATGCATAATTATTGTGTAATCAGTGTAGGATTGGAAGGCAGAAGCCTGATCATCGTCCCCTGCTGCTCAGTAGCCCTTATGACTCCTCTGTCACTACAGAATAAAATAGCCCTCCAAGGGTCCCCTTCGATCTACCATTTCTACCATTTTATCTTTAAGGACTCTCCTCAAGTACTTTATCTATTAGTCAAATCAGAGCCTCCAGCCCACTTCATTGGCCAAAGAATATGCTTGAAACAACTCAGGTAATTATTTTGTAGCTTATAGGATGTATTATTTTTCCCACTCATTTGACTACAAAAATATGCTACCCAGCATTCTCAGTTACCATTTTATATGTAAATCTAGAGTTTAGAGTGGGTGTGTGTGTCTTTATCAAGCTTAGTGCTTTTTTTTGTGAGGAAGATCAGCCCTGAGCTAACATCCATGCCAATCCTCCTCTTTTTGCTGAGGAAGACCGGCCCTGTGCTAACATCTATTGCCAATCCTCCTCCTTCTTTTTTTTCCCCTTTTTCTCCCCGAAGCCCCCAGTAGATAGTTGTATGTCATAGCTGCACATCCTTCTGGCTGTTGTATGTGGGACGCGGCCCCAGGATGGCTGGAGAAGTGGTGGTTGGTGCGCGCCCAGGATCCGAACCCGGGCCACCAGTAGCGGAGCGCACGCACTTAACTGCTAAGCCACGGGGCCGGCCCAAGCTTAGTGCTTTTAACCAAGGAAGTATTCAAAAAATGCATTTCATTTCCCCCTCTAAGCTGCACTAGCAGCATCCCTTCCTCTGCTGATGGGCAAAGGGCCCACTTCTTTGGTGTCAAGTTGTCTCTCTGCAGGAAGAAAGATCACAAGTGAGAATCTCCAAGAGGGAGCAGAACTGGGGAGACTTATGAAGGAAACAGAGAGGGCCCACCCTAAGTAAACAACAACAACAAGAAAGAAGCTAAATAACTCTTAAAACTCAACAATAAGAAAGCAATAAACCCAATTAAAATATGGGCAAAAGATCTGAACAGACACCTCACAAAGAATATAAAAGATGGCAAATATGTGTATGAAAAAATATTCAACATCATGTGTCATCAGGAAATTACAAATTAAAACAACAAGGAAATACCACTACACACCTAGTAGAAATGCTAAAATCCAAAATACTGACTGGTATGTTGACAAGGATGTGGAGCTAAAGGAACTCTCATTCTCTGCTGGTGGGAATGCAAAATGGTACAGCCACTTTGGAAGACAGTTTGGCAGTTTCTTACAAAGCTGAACATACTCTTACCATATGATCCAGCAATTTTGGCATTTACCCAAATGAGTTGAAAACTTATGTCCACACAAAAACCTGCACACTTGTGTTTATAGCTGCTTTGTTTACAATTGCCAAAACTTGGAAGCAACCAAGATGTCCTTCAGTAGCTGAATGGATAAACTGTGGTACATCCATATAATGCAATATTATTCAGCAATAAAAATAAATGAACTATCAAGCCACGAAAAGATGTGGAGGAACCTTAAATGCATATTGCTAAGTGAAAGAAGCCAATCTGAAAAGGCTACATACTACAGGATTCCAATTATATGGCATTCTGGAAAAGGCAAAACAATGGAAACAGTAAAAAGATCAATGGCTGCCAGGGGTTGGGGAGGTAGGGGGTGGTGGAGGGAGGACTAGGTGGAGCACAGGGGTTTTTAAGGCACTGAAACTATTCTGTATAATACTGTGTAGGGGAGGAAGAAATATCCCTCTACCCTTCTAGGTTCTTCTGGCTGGCCTAAGAATTGAACTGACACGAGACAGAATAACAGAAGAAAATCAAACAAGTTTAATAACGTATGTGTGGGAGAAACCCAGGAAAACTGAGTGGCCAAAATGGCTGAAATCACCACCTTAAAAACCATCTTCAGCTAAAGACAAAGGAGGGTGTTGGAGGTAGTGGTTTGGGATTTCAAAGGGGAGGAAAGCCGATTCACATGGCGATGGAAAAGCAAATGTTTGGTAAACAAATGTTTGCCATGCCTTGTGAAGACAGTGAGACATGAAGAGGACTTTGATCAAATGGGCCTTGCTAGGTTCCTCCCTGTCTACCACACCTAGTTCATATTGTACTATAATTATCTATGTTATTAAGTCCTTCCTGAAACAGGCCTTCTATCTTAAATTCTTTTAGGCAGTTAGGGGGGAGGTCAAAGTTTCTTCCTGAGTCTTTTGTTCTCAAAAATAATCAAGCCAGGCCTTGCCCCATGGCCAAGTCGTTAATGTTCTGCACGCTCCACTTTGGCAGCCCAGGTTCACAGGTTCAGATCTTGAGGGTGGACCTACTCCACTCACTGGTCATGCTGTGGCGGTGTCCCACATACAAAACG